GCACAGATGTTAGCTCAGGGCCAGTCTTCCTCAGCAAAAAGAGGAGGATTGGCATGGATGTTAGCTCAGGGCTGATCTTCCTCACAAAGAAAAAATAAAAATAAAAAGGCAAAACAAAATTACTTTTTACTTTAATAGTGTTTTGCCAACAATAGATTGTTAAGGATTATAAAAGTCATATGGGAGGACTTTACTACGTAATGAACTTGAGGTATAAGGAAGTAAATGAATGGCTTCGAGTGGAAGAAGTCCAGGCTCTGCAAGTTTGGGTTGTAAGAGTTCAGCAGGCTGGCTCTACTTGTTTTTCTGCTTCCTTTTGTGGAAGTTCAAACCAGCTGACTCATAGTTACAGAGTCAGACTCAAGGCAGACCCTTAGAGAAGTGACAGCAAAAGGCTTCTGTTAAGTGGTCTTTAAACTTTTCCTTTAATCTGGCAATAGAGTATACTAACCATAAAAATATGACAAAGAAAGTGCTCCATTAATGTTCAGTAAAAGACAGAGACTAAAGATGGCTTATGTACACACAGAGCTAAGGAAACATATAGGAAAAAGAAATATTCATTTGTTTACCAACTGCTATGGTACTCATTGTTAAATCCTGAATTAGACACCAAAAAAGGCTCAAAATATAAATAGTTAAAAACTGTTTCAAAAAGTGACACCAAGAAACTTTTATGGGGTTTATTTGGAAACCTAAGTGATAATTTGACTTACCAATGGTGGGATCATGATCTTCTGGGAATCGATGGCTGATGAACTGCATGGTCATGGCTTCAAAACAAGAAATGAAAGTTGACATCTATACAAAGGTGACCCACAGAAAGAATGTCAAGTATCAACATTGCATGATAGTCAGTCTCCCATTTGGTTTGGGTGGAGGTCATTTGTTTTAAGTACTTTTCATAGTCTTGTAAAATGGAAGAGAAATGTCACCTACCACTTTTCCCCACACCACCAGCACCCAGCATCACGAGTTTGTATTCCCGTGAGAGCCCTGCAGGGCTGCTACAGTGGCTACCACCTGGGCGACTTCCAGAATCCATTGTCCTCTTGGAGAATCTTGGGCTGCCCCGAGGAAAAGGCACCTGGAGAAAGAAGAAAATATTTAATCCAGGATGGAGACACCATGATGACAGTACTGGAGCCAGGGCCCTACCTCCTCACACTCCGTCCTATTACTCCTGCTCCCTACTGTAGTCTTTCTGGCGGCCCAAAGAAACCCCACATCCTCACCTTCCCTCCAGGACAGTTAAACGCATCACAGGTTTTCCGAATTACTTTTTCCAGAGAGGAAAATAAAGAGAGACAAAGAAATCTGGAATTTCTTTTCAGACTGGGGCACCAGCACAGCAGGGAGGAGGAGCTGAGAAAGCTGAGGTTTGGGGACCAAAGGAACACTCCCTTAGGCCGCAGGGGTCCTCTCATGCCTGCGGCACCGGAGGTCCCGCCCCCTCCCCCTTCTCCTGCGAGACAGCTCCCCTCCCTCAGCGCACCTCCGCCCGCCATCATGCCCCCTACCCCTCCGCTTCACGAGCCGAGCCCTCGTTCCTCGTACCCGTCGGGACCTGAAGGCCACGGCCGGTCAGTTCACCCACTTCGTCCTCCTTCACTCACCGCGAGGCTCCAGCACTGACCTGTGACCCCTCCCGCAGCCGGGGAAGATGGCGCCACCGGCCGTAGGGGCGGGGCTGCCCCGTGACGTCCGCCACCCGCCCCGCCCCCTCCGGGGAGGGCCAGCTCCCTTCCAGGTCCTCAAACCCAGTTCCGCGACTCACCGCAAAAGAAAGGCCGTTTGGTCGAGTCCCATACTCAGGGTGCCTGCGCGCGCGCGCACACACACGTTAAAACAAATTATAAAACAACCGTTTACACACAAGTCAAAAAAGAAAGGAGGATGTCATAACGGACACACAGGGGACCTCTAAAGTGAGTAACAAGTTACTCAATGCTGTTTGCGATAAAAGACGAATTTGGCCAAATGTAATGAGGAAACAAGAGGAAATGGGTACCCACCAAATCCTCCCAAAAAACCGGGCTGAGATCGTTTTCCACTTAATAGCAGAAAGAGCAAATTTTCTCAAAGGAACAGCTACAATGACTTCAGCTTTTGAAAACAGTTAACAGTCCAGCCTCCAAGAACAGAGGAATGTTCACAACATTCGAGTTAGACTAATCGGAGTTCTGTATTTTAAACATATATAAATAAGACATTTAAAAATTCGGTTGTTTTGTTTTAAACAAATGTACTACTCTCCCAGGTGGCCTTGAATTAAATACAGAAATAAGGTACTATCACTATATTCCTCTATTTAGGTAGCACACACAGGTATTAGAAGAAACTTGACACTGGGAAATTTTTCTGTTGAAGTTTCTGTCCTCTCTTCTTTTTTAAGAATGTTTTTCCAAGAATAATTTGTATTTCTTTTAAAAATGTTTCATTCACTCATTCCCTTGAACTATGTTCAATAAAGGAGGGCTAAAATATGAAATTGGAAAACATCCAGTATAATAATCTTTTATGTTTTCATCTGGACTTTTTAACTGTCGTCTTAATAGTTTGTAACATTGTGAAATTTTAGCTGTACATTATTATTTGTCCATCACCATATAAATTCCTCCTTTCACCCCTTGTGCCCCTCCTTCATCTGGACTTTTAAGGGTTTACTTTGGAAAGTCATAAATCTCTCAGAACCATATGCAAACTTTTGGGTCCATGTGTGCATTTTTCTGGTGGGGTTATAATTTCATTATGCTATGAATAAAAAAGTTTATGAATTTTAGTGTATGGATGGGTTGTGGAAGAAAAAAAGAGAAACCACAAGCAGAATATTTATACATTTATTTATAATGAAATTATGGTCTAAATATTTACAACATATAGGAAACCAGAGGGTAAGTTTATACAAAGCCAACCTGCAAAGTATTCAAATGTGCAAAAATGACAGTTCAGTATCTCAAACTACTCTTGGTTCAGCAGACTAGCTCCTTCACTTTCACACATCAATATTTGATACAAAAAAGTTCTTTTGGCAAAACCTGTAATGCCAAGAAAAAGGACAAGTTGCAATTTCAGTCACTAAGTCCACCATCCTATTGCAAGCAGTCAAATCTCTCTATTTTAGCTGCAACCAGTTCTGAAGAGAGACAGACCACTGTGTTTCGTTTCTGTGATGAGTCCTGATCAGCTTTTGATCAACCAGTTTTCTCTGACCCAGTTGAAGACAACAAGCTTAGAAGGGCAATAAAAACAGCAATGGCTATCTGAAACAAGTGTGCCTGGAGGTGCCAGCTTTGGATCATCCCAATAAAAAGATACAATAAAAAAAATAACTTCATTTTCCTACCCAGGATCCAGCTATATCCGATAGTTTTAAATTAGTAAAACCACATTTTCCAAAACAGAAAGAATCCAAAAATGAAATAGGGATGAGTTCTTACATTGAGTACTGAAAGGAAAGAATGGTCTTAAAATCTTTTCCCCACTAATAAATAGTAAGGCTTTGTTTATAACCAGTTATTATCAAAATTCACCAAACAGTAGTAAAATACAAATAAAACTTTCTTTACATCAGAATAGGGGCTATTCATTTGGAAAAGGCTGGACTAGCTCAAATGTATATTAGAATGACCCTGTTGGGATGCTTTGTTGAACAAGCACATTTCACCAACTGTTAAAAAGCTTCTGAGACAAATTGGTGACTCTAAGTAAATCTTAACAGATGCTATGCCACTGCAGAAATAAGGATGTTTTAAAAAGAATGGAACTCCTTTAAGAAAGGGGACACGGCACCTCTAACTTCTGCAAAGGTCCAAGATAGTTCTCAGTACAGGCCCCAGAGTCTTGTTAAATCAAATGCATGCATTATTGCTAAAGAAGAGTCACCGAGGGTCAAAACTCTGTTCCACTGTTTCCTATGGGGCCATCCAGAATGGCATCTGTTGTTTAGCTCGTGGTTGTGATGAAGGGTATTGATATCCCAAACTCCAGCCCTGTGGAAAACTACTTGCATTTTTATGACCTCCGTGTTCCTCCTCTTCATCAGATGAATCTGCAGCATAAGCCACCAAGCCAAATCCCTTTTCCGTAGTTTTCATCTTCTTGACTGGATAATCTAGAATAGAGAAAAACAACCCCAACCCCATTCCCCACCAAGGAGAAAAAAAAAAAAAGATAATACCATAAATTCGTTAATAAAAAAAAGATGTTAATTGTAAGTGGTTAGTTGGACACCATTTTGAGGTCACAGGGTCAATGGTCACCCAAAAACGTTGAAGATCACACGAAAAACAGCACCAGCATCAGCAAATGTGAATCCACCAGAACCATGTAAGAAAACAGAGAAAGAAAAAAGAAACACAAAAAAAAAAAGAAAAAAGAAAAAAAAGGAAAGTTAGCAAGTGAGTCTCTGGAGGCTGATATTTCACCTTTTAAAGAGTTAAAAGAAAAGAAGTTAAGAAAAGAAAAAAATGTATTTTCTTCTGTTTGTTTTTATTATGACTAGGCGAAGAACAAAAATGATCCCATGTACCTTTACAGGGTTTAGAGTTCTGGGATACTAAAAGGCAACATTTTTTATAACAGCCACAGGCTGACCATTACTGATCAATAGAGCTATGACGGGAGACACGGCTCAGCTCCCAACACAAAGAAAAATCCATTTTTATTAGGTCTGTATCAGATTACCTCCAGGTACAGATGACAAAGACAACAAAATTTTGAAATGACCTACCAATCATTAGTATTTCCTAGGGTTTTAAGGTCACTGATGCTATGTATAAAATATAAGTCGACTGACTCTTTTCTAGACACACGTCGGTTGAAAATAAAAGGCTGTGTAACTATATGCTGTCCATATAAATAAAAAAAAGTATTCTCATTAGCCAGTACATTATAGAGGTTGGATAAAACACCTGAATGAGTCACACCTGAATGAACGTCAGGTTAGAAAACTAACAGCTTAAGACCAGTCTTAGCCACACTCCCTTGTTCCCCCAGCTACACCTAACTCACCATGGCTCCCTGTTAAGGTCCCAGATCCATTCCTTTCATCAGACTCTGTTTTTATTCCAGTCACTGGAAAGGCTGGTGGAGGCATCAACTGCCTGTTAAAAGAAAAAAATGAAACAGTCTTTCAGACAAATTCAATAAATGTTTAACCTCTCCAGTAGATAAGGAGTGGAATAAACAATACGGTCTGCAGATAATCTTTCAAGTTCACCTTAACCATTAATTTCAACCCTTTCCACCTGACCCCCTACCCACCCTTCAAGCTATAAGATTATAAGGCCTGTTTGCAGAGCCAGGCCACGCCAAAAATAGAACAAACTGTTGTGGGAACTCTGCTCCCTCTTATGAAGGCTAATATAATAATACAGGAAAGGAGAATTTACTGGATGGCAGGCTAAACTCCCATTCAAGTACCTCCATCCATGATATTCTATGATTCTAAGTAGCAAAAATGGCTTGATTCTCTAACACTTCTGTTACTGCCTACCCTTAGGAAAATGGCCAAGATGCAAACAATGAAAGTAAAGGAAGATGCCTGACTAAACATGTACTGAATTATCCAAAGCTAAGTATAACTGCTTCTAAGACTGTGCAAGGCCTATCGTTACATTTTCCGTTACTGCATCAATTACAACAAACAAGAGCTTGTTTGATCTAAATGATTTCATTTCAGTTTTAGAACATGGAAGCACATAGCAATGACCATTATTCACACTAATGGTGCAAACAAATGACATCTGAATATATTCATATAATTCTGTTCCAACCAACTTACCTGTCCCTCTCTCGCTCTTTGCCTGAGGAACTTGCCGGCTTCGATCCTGCACCTTCAATCTCATTCTGACTGGAGAAGCCTGTACCTAAATTAGTCATATGAATGGGTCCATGCTATGAGCAGAAAAATACAGTGGCATTAGCAAATCTACAACTGCTGTATTGATTTTAGCTCCTTAATGTAACTGTCAAGTGCCTCATCTTTCTGATAAATTGCAATAAGCTGCACTACATACCTCTTTGGGATTTGGAGTCTAACTATAGCTGAAAGAGATTATTTTTCTCTGAAGGACTTGGTCAGGGATGTTGTGATTCATTATGCTATGTCTATCTGTTTTCAACTATCCATAACTTAACTGGTTTGACCTAGTTATAAACTATAAAAATGTTTCAAAGTTTGTTTCAAAGAATGCTTCAAGGATTCTGGCAAAAAGTAAAGATGCTTTCCTAATAAAACAAAACTGCATCAAAAGTACACATTTTAATAATCTTTAAAAAACTCTTTAGTGAATAACTGTGTTTATAACTGTATGCAAGCACAGAATCAGTGCATTTCTGGCCATCTTTTTTTTGAGCGGGAGGGGTAAGGATTGGAGAAAGAAAACATGCTCTTTTTTCAGAGGGGAAAAAGAGAATAGTAAATTGAAAGCCAAGGTTTTCAATACAACCCATATATCGGTAGAAGGATAGCTTTTGGTGAGATGTGTAGAGAAGTAAGAACTATCAGAGGCTTTCAACAGTCTGTTGTACGAATAAGAGGAAGTGCAGAATTCTACAGAACTCCTTCCAGATGCCAGTCATAGGAGACTTCTCTCTAGGTGAAGAGTTTTGTATTCTCTTATCACTCTGACCCCCAAAGACAAAACCCACCCAAAGGGAATTGCTCTT